CACACACACACGCACACACACACACACACACGCACACACATACACACACACAAGCACTCGACAATATGCGATTTTACATTGCATAGATGCAAAAACCCTTTAAAAACAAAAACTTTAAGTACAATGTACTAAATATAGTTCTAATTTACTGAGTAAAACAGAGCCATAAACGAAAAAAACACGAAAAACAGTTTTCTTTCCCATCCTCATTACCCACTTCAGAAACTCAGGTTCTTTTCAAATCCCTTCTAAAACAAGAAAGTGTAAATAATTCTTCGGAAATCACGAATCAAAAACATGAAACTCAAGTCCTTTTCACTTCACATATCAAGTAACAAAAGTAGGATTGCTTTAAGCTTGAAATTTTCTTGGCTTTAAAAAAAAATTATACCTCTTTTTGATCGTTTCCAAGCGAAAAATGTGTCGTTTCCTCCTGTGTTGCTTCATCGTGCTCTGGTTTACTTCTGTACTTATCCAGTATTTCATTTGCACGCTGCTTGTTCAATTCAGCAGCTGTATTTAAATCATCCAACGAATGACTTTCGGCTAATCGAGCCCGTGTTCTAGCTTCTGGAAATTCCCATTATTTGAATATCATCTTCAAAAAAACTCAGCAAGTAACTTGTATTATCGCGTGATATATCAAATAATGATTAATGGTTTTTGTTAAAAATAGATTAAGGATCAAATGCGTTACTATGACGCAGCACCCCTGTCCCTGGTTCAAACTTTGATCACCCTACCCTCACTAAACTTTCGATCTTTGTCCCCAGGGGTATAAAAGCACTCCTCCCCATCGCCGGAATCTTCTTTTGTTTTACCTATCCACCACTGCGACTTACTTCAATTTAACTAGTACTCCTATTCTGGGGAGCTTCGGCTCCCCAGGGCCTTACCACGTTTAACATTGATTCTCGCTTCGACATGTATTCTCGCTTTATTATAAAAATGTATATAGGACGCGACGTCTTACACTTACAAACGGGGCAATAAGTGAAAGTTAGGGTCGCAATAGTATTACTTTACTCGAATTACTCGTCTGCTTGCAAAAAATTCACTTTCTGACCTTAAAATCATTTTATACATGCAGAATATTGCATAGCCGAAAAATTCACAGTTTTCTTTACAAAATTTACAAAAAAAAATCTTTTACAAAAATTCACAAATTTGCACTTTTCTTAGAAATTAAGTAATTAACTCACTTAGCGTTATTACTCTTCACAAATATTTAAGCTTTCTCATTCTTCATTGTTCAATCTATTCTATGACTAACCCAAAAATCATATTTTTTAAAATCTCTTTACTTCTTCCTGATTTTTGCCACAAATGATATAAGCCAAATTGAAGTTCAGTTAATAAAAATCTTATTTCTATTAAAGATATTAATTAATAAAGCTATTTTACTCATTTGTTAATGTTCATTTTACTTTTCAAACTTAATTTTTTAATATTTTGAACAGATATATGATAGTTCTCATGCAGCTGACCTGGGCGATTGGTTGCAGCAGCGACCGAAGAATCCGTTTCTTCATCAGCTTTTGAGGAACTGATCTCGTTCATTGCAGCCGCTTGAGAAAATGACTGACGAAGTGAACTTACTACTGCACCTAGAAACAAACCCATGAAACATTTTTGCTATTTTCCTCAACAGTTTTGCGATTACTCAGATGATGCCCAGCAGTACCATAAAGTAAGTCATCACAAATCTCAGCGCACATGAGCGGCGATATATAACACAAACCAAGGATATCTCGAGAAACACAAAAGCTGGGAAGCTGAAATTTTAAGAATCTTCCTTAGTTGCATATGACCCCGTAAAACTTGCATCTATGCAATACAGAAGACGCATATTGACGAGAGGTTGTCTGTGTGTGCGCTGCGCGTCTGTACCAATTTTCATCTCGAGGCCCACAGAAGCTACAGGGCTGAAACTTTGGGGACTTAATCTACATGAGTGTATGGGCCCCCATCTCCGAAATGGGCACCCTTACCCGCGTGGTGCCCACGTATGGGCCCGCCAAAGTTTTTTCGGGTAAGTTGCTAACTCGGGGACTTGAAAAAGGCTAGAATTTTAAGAGGATTTTCCCTGTCCAAGTAGGTATTAACGAGTTCAAATCCGGCCCTTTGGTATATTTGGTACCCACGTATGGACCTGCCAAAGTTTTCGGGTATATTGCTAACTCAAGAACCTGAAAAGCTAGAAGACTGGGATTTTAAGAGGATGTTCCCCACGTAGGTCTTAACGAATTCTAACCTAGCCCCCGGGTATGTCTGGTTCCTATGTACGAGCTCGTGTAAGTTTTTTGCGGGTAAGTTACTAACTCGGGAACCAGGGAAGCTAGAAGACTGAAATTTTAAACGGATGCTTCCTGGCAGTCCTGGCGGCCAGTCTCAATTCTTTTAGCTAGAAGCATCTGCCGGAAAAACCAGTGCTGTGACAAAAACCTAGGCGAAACTATGCAAAAAATGCATCTTCGCACGGGCAGCCCGTACGCTAGTCAATTATTTTCTCTTCATGAGACGAAACAAGCATTAGGATCGTCAATAAGGCTGATGAAAAAGAAATGGAGCACTGGTCTTCGCAACTGTAGAAATAAAAAATCAATAAAAAAATGGAACCGTGAATCACTGCATGCAGGCACAAAATTGTTATTTTTTCATCAAAAACTTTTAAAACTTCTTTTAAATTGACAAAAATTATAAGCCTCTCTTCAATTAACTTCTGTGAGGGACAAACACACCAGAAATAGCCCTTACAGTAAAATTTTGGTTCTCTTTTGCAAAAATAATCCCAAAAACAAGATCCAGGTGGTTTGATCTCTACATAATTGGCAAGACTTAACTTCTACGGAAGTGAACAAGCATACTATTATCAATTTATTAATTAAATACATATGCACTAATGGAAAAAAAGGAGACGGGTGTGGAAAACGTACCTTTTCTTATTTTGAACGATTCGCTCACTTTATGCAACCCGTGAAAAAAGTTGATTTTTTTTCGTGACAGCGGACTTTCACTTCTCTCGCTCTCTTCGTTCTTTCGACCTTCAAGAAAAGCAGTCATAACATCTGGTAATTCTTACTCTAAACTTGTCGTTTCCCTAACCAAACAGCTTGAATTTCGCCTCTCTTTCTTCTCCCCTCTCCTCCTGCACCCTTCCCTCTCTCCTCCATCCGCCTCACATGAACTCAAAGTCATTTATCCGCTTCGAATGTGTCAACCGACCAACAGCAATTACCTACTACTGACAGTGCTATTAATGGATATTACCACTTTTTTGTTGCTATTTGAGTAAAAGGGAACCGTTTCCAGCTTCCGGCATATTATGCACACCAAGTGCTATTAAATCAATCATTTGCCATAAAAAAATTCGCCCCCGTCTTGAGGACTCTAGTGATCGGTGAAGTCGTTTTACGGGCTAATAATTCTGTGATTGCCTTAGCAAACAAAAAAAAAAAGGTGATTTACGTGATCGTGAATTGCCGTGGCCATTATTGAGTGCCGGATGACGGTGCATTTTGGGCATGGCTCCGCTGATTGTCCAGTTAACTCCTGCTGCTGCTGCTGCTTCGTCATTCACCTTATTTTCATCATTCGATTCGGCCTTCGACTGCAAAACAGGAATACTAAAGTGGAGGAAATAGAAGAACAGAAGGATTTCACTTGAATATCATGTGCATGAAGATATTTTATGACGCAGTCTCTCTGTGTTTCATCCCTTAGCTGTATACACAGACCGAACAATGAAACTTTAAGACCAAAAAAATTACACAGCTTTGGACTATGCGGTGAAAACTACACAGCTTTTTAGCTGTTAATTCTACAAGTAGTTAGATTTGAAGCGAGGTAGCAATTCTCTGCACAATCCAGTTGTATCCCCAAAACGATTAAACGCTTTTGCCGATGAGTTAGCAATTCCTTTAGGATGCGAAACGGATGTCCCAGGTTAGCTAGCAGGCGATCTAGCTTTGGTCAAAGCAACAAGTGCGACTCAATGGATCGAAACATTTTTTTCCTACTTTAATAATTCCTTACATGCTTTTCATCGTTTTTTTTTCTCACATTTTTTCTTTAACCCTAAATAAGCTACAGCTGAAATAAAAACGACACTTTAAAAATGTAACTAAACAATATGTCGTATTACAATATATCAGGGGGATTTGATTCAGGGGGATTTTTTTATTTTATTTTGTTTTTTTATCTACGTTCTTTTTAGATTTTATATAGAACGACTTTTTTTTTATAAGAAATGGAAATGGAATATTTGAGTGGGCAATGATATCTTCCAAAAACCGCTAGGACAAACAGTACTTGTGCTAGTGACGTTACTGAGATTTTTTCATAAAAGGATTCAAAGTGGTTTCCTGGCTGGGGAGGGGAGGCGATTTTTCTTCCGTCCCTCTCCTCTCCCTCCCCCTCGTCTCGCTACCTTTCTCCCCTTCCTCATCGCTCCTAGCGGCAGCG